TCCTTGGAGATACAGGTCCCATGTAAAAGCAAGAGACCAAAAACACTGTTGGCCAGGTGTGGTGGCTCACGCCTGTAATCCTAGCACTCTGGGAGGCCGAGGTGGGCAGATCGCTCAAGGTCAGGAGTTCGAAACCAACCTGAGCAAGAGTGAGACCCCATCTCTACTAAAAATAGAAAGAAATTAATTGGCCAACTAAAAATATATAGAAAAAATTAGCCAGGCATGGTGGCACATGCCTGTAGTCCCAGCTACTCTGGAGGCTAAGGCAGGAGGATCGCTTGAGCCCAGGAGTTTGAGGTTGCTGTGAGCTAGGCTGACGCCATGGCACTCTAGCCCGGACAACAGAGTAAGACTCTGTCTCAAAAACAAAACAAAAAAACTCTCTGTTGTCTGGGGAGTGCAGGAAATTTTGGTTAATCACGTTTTAAAAAATTATTTGATATTAGAGAGTTACCAAGTTTATCATAGAACAGGCGTGGGACATCTTTTTATTTTCAAGAGCCATTGACTCATAAGACAAACATTGTTTGAGGCCCACGTTGAGCTAGTTGGGGTAGGGCTGCCGGGTACAGTATAAGATGCCCCATTAAATTTAAATTTCAGGTAGACAACAAATGATTTTTTGGTATAAGTGTTACAGAGGTAAAGGTCTAAAAAAGGACAATGAAATGTTTTACAAGTTGTCTCCTTAAAAACCCTCACACTTTTGGGGAATTAAACCTGTATTCCTGCCTAAGGCCAGTAATCAAAGGGGCAAAAAAATGTTCTTTGCTGTTTGTTTGCTAGTATCTTAAACCACAGGAGATGGCTCAAAAGATTTGTTCCAGCAAGGGTCAGGAGATTATCATCACTGGAGATAAGGTCTATCAAAACTATAATTATAGTTAAACAATAGCCCGAAGCCATGACATGTGGCGGGTCACATAGACCTGATCCCAACTGCCAACTGCCCCTTTTAAAAAGCCCTGTGTTTCTGCTTAAAGACAGGATGGTGGTCTTTTGAGACACTAGTCTACTGCCCTCCTCATTTGCTGGCAAATTAATAAACTTCTCTTTCCTTTTCCTGAAGCCACTTGTCCTCGTTCTTTTTCTCACTGATTCAACCTCAGGGACAAGTACTAAACTTTCAGTAGCATAAGCATGTCCTGAATATTATTTGCTGTTTATCTGACATTCAAATTAAACTAGTCATTGTGTGTTTTGTAAAATCTGGCCACTTCATTGGGACATAAATTGATCTAGTTGTTAAATTAATAATAGGAAACAGCTACATAATATTCAATACTTATGGAAGACCATAGCAGTTAAGAGAGGAGGAGGGGGGTAGCAGGGAAGAGGTAACGTGAGAGAAAGATCAGGAAGAAAGGGAGACAGGCATAGTAAAACATAAAAAGATCTAAATGAAAAAAAAAAAAAAAAGAACCAGGAGGTGCTGAGGAGAGAGATAACATCTCTTTGTTTTGTGTTGTTTGAGACAGGATCTTGCTCTGTCGTCTGGGCTAGAGTGCAGTGGTATCATCATAGCTTACTGCAACCTCAAACTCCTGGGCTCAAGTGATCCTCCTGTCTCAGCCCCCCAGGTAGCTGGGACTACAGGTGCACGCCATCACACCTGGCTAATTTTTCTATTTTTTGTAAAGACGCTCTTGCTCTTGCTCAGGCTGTTCTCAAACTCCTGGCCTCAAGCGATCCTCGTGCCTCAGCCTCCCAGAGTGCTAGGATTACAGGCGTGAGTCACCACCCCCAGCCCAAAACGGAAACATTTCTGAGGGACCTAAAATGTTTGCTAAATTATTACTGTTTCGCAGAATGCCATTTCCCTGGGAACTGCTGCTGAGTTGGCTAACCACTGTTCCTGGATCTGCTGCTCTTTGTTCTGTCTGGTAAAACCAACAGTGGCCACTAGAGAGAAATGAATCTCCGAGCTACGGTACCATCTAGGTCAATATTACCCCGCGGTCAGGTTGTTAAATAAAATTTATAGGAGGCCATTGTTTTGGATTGAGCTTCCGCACTGGGCTCCAACAGGCCAGACCAAACCGAAATGGAATCGCTCTTGCTAGGGAACACGTGATCAAACTGAACGTTAAAATGGACCAGTTTTCCAAAGCTCAGGAGACTCACAGCAACCAACAAAAAGGGTCCTGGTCTGCCTGAGACAGCCTTATAAGCAAGTCTCCTTTGTTTTAACCCTATAAAGAGACTTTGAAACAACCCATCCACTTCTTGTTCCTTGTTTCTGCTTTCCCCAGCCTTTCTGCCGATAAAGCCCACCATCTCCTTAGCTCATCAGAGCTTCTATTTTATAGAGGAGATGCGGCCTGATTCATGAATTGATAATAAATGCCAATTAAGCCAATTAGATCTTTAAGCTTGATTTATTGCAATTTTGTTCCTTAACAGGATGAGACCAAATCTAAGGCTGTATCCAACTCCAGGAGCTAAGGATCCCTCTGCCAACCTCCCCTGTCCTCCCACCACCCCACCACCGCCACATTGCTGTCCTTCAGGGACTGTGGATTTTTCAAAGAATTGGAATCAAAACAATGAAGTCGATTTGTTGCCAAGATTCCATGAAACTTTTTTGTTCTCAAGGATGATTCAGAAAACCCTTCAGTAGCTTCTTTTGCCTGAGGGTTTGAGGAACAAGAGTCATCACAGGGCAAATGTGCAGACATTAGAGAATCTTTGAACTGTAAATACCCTCATTCTCATACTCAAGACGGGAGGTCAGGTTGTCCTAACCCAGAGAGAGAAGCCTTGCTGGGCTGGAGGTTGTGGGGTGCAGCTAGGCCCTGTTAGGAGAAGGCTGTAGCAGCTGAGCTTGCTACCTCCGTGTACCCGGGGAACTGACAGGGGCTGCCTTTGTTTACCTGGGCTGCAGAAATAAGTCTCCCCATAAACTCCAATGGAAAATAGAAGAGACACACCAAATGGCCCACCAAGCTAAGACCCTATTCCAGACAGCTGGGAAGTTCAGGCTGTGTCCGCTTGGGACCTTATCATTACAATAGCTACATTTAGTGACCATCTACTCTGTGCCATGCACGAATAAGGGACTTTACATAAATGATCCCAGTTGATCCTAACAGCTATCTCATGTTGTAGTTATTATTATTCATATTACTATAGTATTACTAATTTAAGAGATAGAAAAATCATGACTGCAAAAAGTTAAGTTCTTGTCTCAAAGTCAGTTGATTAGTGAGTGTTGAGGGCTGAGATCCGTCTCAGGTGTGCTGCACTCCCAGCCCGGAATCCACCCCTGCCCCGCCAGTCAGACTGCAGGGTTCCAACCCCAGCACCATTGCTAACTAGTTGTGTGACCTTGGGTAAGTTACTTAATCTCTCTGTGTACTTGTTTTGCCATGTGAAAAGTGGGAAAGAAAATAGTACCTCACTCATGGAGTTGCTGTGAAGATTTAGTGAGTTTCTAAGTTTAAAGCTCTTAGAACCACGCCTGGCACATAGACAACACTAAGCATTGGGGCACTTTGAGAACCACTGCTCTAATAAGACAAGCTCCCTCTTGGTTTTAGGCCTGGCCACTTCCCCAAGGAGACCTGCCCTAATTCCTGGACAGAGCCAGCTACATAATTTTTGAGGCCTAGTCAAAATGAAAAATACAGGCCCCTTGTTTAAAAAAACAGTGGGTTAGTGGGATAGGGGGAAGGGCAGTTAAAGATACTAACGTATAAAGATTTTCCTTTTAAAATTTACAGGTTATGCACCTCTAATCCAAATATCCAAAATCCGGAACTTTTTGAGTACCAACATGACACTCAAGGGAATACTCATTGGAGCATCTCAAATTTTGGATTTTCAGATTTGGGATGCTCAACAGTAAGTATAATGCAAACATTCCCAAATCCAAAGAAGTCCTACGTCCAAAGCATTTCTGGTCCCAAGCCTGTTTTATAATAAAGTTTTATTGGAACACATTGACACTCATTTGTTTACATATTGTCTATGGCTGCTTTCACATTACAACAGCAGGGTTGGGTAGCGTGACAAGGAATGTTTGGCCTACAAAGCCTATAACATTTGCTGTCTGGGCCTTTATAGAACAAGTTTATGGAAGCCTGCATGAGACTGTAAGATCCCCAAAGACAGGAGTCATGTCTGTCTAGGTCACTTTTTTGTTCCCACTACCTAGAGCAGAGCCTGGCATATAGAAAACACTCAGTCAACACTTGCTGGGGGGGGGGAATGAAATAAAAAATGAATATATGAACAGCCTAGACTTTTTTGAAGTAACTTATTTATATCTAAAAGGAAATCATGTACATTCTATGTATGACTCCATTTTTGTTTTCATATAAAAATGATGTTTATAACTACTTACCCTACTGTGAAATTAATTCTCTAGGGAAATGTAAGGTGGCTTGGCATGCCCTCTGGCACAATGCCACATACTGTGCAGGGGTATGGGCACTGAATATATAGCATTCATCATTCAATACATGTTTATGGAGCTAAGCACAGGGCCAGGCATGATAACAGCAATGACAGTGACTCCACTGTGTCTGACTCAACAGACCTGTTGGACCTATAGACCAAAGAAAAAAAGATTTTCAAATATACAGCTTATACAAATACACATATATAACCTTATGATCAAAAGTGGTTGTACTAATGAAAATTTCTGGATCAAGTGCTTTGGGCTTTCAGAGTCAGGATAGATTCATTTTGGCTGTGGGATCTGGAAAGGTTTCATGCCAGTCATTCTCTTTTTGGTCTCAGAGCCGATCCTTGTACTTCTGCTTTGCTCTGCACCGCAAGGGGCTGGCCCCTGCACACTACATTTCCGTGGCTGCCCTGCCAACTGGCTCCAGCTAGGATCCATCGGTGGGAGGCTACACAGAGAGGATTGGAGGGCTGAACAAAGGGAGGAGCCACAGTCTTTCTCCTCTCTTTCTGAACCTCAGTTTTCTCTCTTGTACAATGGAAAAAAGCAGTCGTGTCTATTTCACGGGATTTTTATGAGAATTAAATGAAACAAGCCATGCAAAATGCTTAACACAGTACCTGGAAAGTAATAAGCTTTCAAGACTAGAGCCATTATTGCTTTCAGCCTTGCTCAGGAAAGTGGGGAGGAGTGCAGTGATCAATTAGTGATGTCTGCCAAGGCTGGACAGTAGAGCTACGAGAGAGGACTATTTACCAACCCGGATATGTCGGAGGTGGATTGTGGAGATAGAATTGATAGGACCTGCCAAATGGATTGACAGGCTTTAGCAATAGATTGAGGGAAATCAATGAACTGGGATGGTGACACCAAAAGCACAACAGTCAACACATGAGAAAGAGTAAGTGAGAGAGGAGATTATGAATTCATTTTTAGACAGTGGTGTGGGGATCTTTCCAGTTGCACAAAATTTAAAAAACCCCAAAATACCACACTGATATGCTTTAGGACATTTCAGCAGGTGGGGGCTTTTGATAGAGATACACACGCGTGCAGGGAGTTAGCAGAGAAAACCATCTCAGCAGCTACACATAACAGCCTCACGGAGAATAGGAAAACTAGCCAGGCAACCACAGCAACTCCAGTTGCTGGAGCCTGGCCTCCTCTGAAGAGGAGCAACCATGTTCTTTCCTTAGCAGTTCCACCCCGGCTCAAGGCTCCTTCTGTTTCCACGTCTCCATCGTTCTGGTTTTCCTCTTCCTGCCTCTCATTCCGTGGCTATACTCTCCGTCTTGCATTCAAGATGATTGGACTGCATATTTGCCACCCAATAGGAAGCTTCCCAACTGGGCCAAGTCTTCAAGTCAGACCACCTGGCAATCTCCTTAGGTCTGGCCCGTGTTGGATGCCTTTGGCTCAACCTAGCAGCTGTGGCCAGCAGAGCAGAAGGGCCCACCTTTTCCAGAAGGAGCTGTGTAACCAGTAGCTTTCATGCTCAGTCTGGTGAAGACATGGTGAATTGGAGATGCCTGTGGGATCTCCGTGAAGCTGAAAAGGTAAGATTGGGTTGTGGTTAAGGGAGCATTAATGATACCTAATTACTTTTGATATTATACATTTCCTACAAATTTGCTCATCTAAGATCAATATCTATCCAAAGATTACGGCAAAGAAGCCGGAGTTTGTTTATGAAAAAGACAGTTCTTTCAATGAGACCCAGAAAATTAGATGATTTGCAGAGAGAGGGATTTTATTACTGTCTTTTATAACCACTTTATTAATTTCTTAGAAGAACGACTTTGAAATTGGCTTGGATGGGTGGGTGTGGTGAAGTTAGGGTTTCCTTACTGCATTGAGAGTAAAATATTCTCAAGCTCAGGAAAACAAACAGAACAGCCCAACCTTCTGTGGTTCTTCCCAGAACTCTTCACAGCCAAGACACCCATCACACCTCTTGGAACCAGAGGGGCCCAGAGCTTGCAACACACATACTCTAAGGGTAAGTTGATACAAGCTCGCTTACACGAGTTCCTTTAAAAATGAAAGAGAAAGAAAAAAAAAGGGAGAGAGAAGATGAAAAATAAAACGTTTGAAGAAAATAGTTAATGTTTGGGAAATCTATTATTAGTATTAATGGAGACAGATATAGCTCTTAGGAGCAAGAGGAAACTTGATCTTAAAATCCGAGGTGAGAAAAAACAGGACAACTCTTTATGCAGTTGTGTTCAAGGGGCTGTATGTGAGCTTGTCTTTTAATTATTATGAGAGGAGCACACAAGCACTTAAAGTTCTTTTAGAATAATTTGAATTAAAAATAATGAATTGCACATATATCCTTAAAGAAATGGAAACTTTTAAATAAAAGAAAAATAGCCAGTATCCTGTCCTCTCAATTTGCCCCCTTATTACATAAGTAGTTTTATTCTAATTCATATGCATATGCAATTTTTATGTAATTGTCATTAGAAGCCCCTGGGTGCACCATGATGACCTTCTGGGTCTGAATGCTGACTCCAGATCTCGGCATCCGTGTGATTTGGAAAGTTATTTAAGCTCTCTGGGCCTCAATTGTCTCATCTGAGAAGTAGGGATACTAATAGTACCTACTCGAGGATTGATTGAGACAACTATAGAGTGCCTAGTTCAATGCTGGGCAACACTCAGTCAAGGGCAATGATTGTCCGTCATTAAAACCGGGGAGCTGTGTAACCCAGGTTGGATGGGGCAGGAAAGCTTAGTAGTTGAAATCTGTGTTTGCCTCCCAATTTTGCCCTTTCCCACGCGCTTGACCTTTACATTGATTGGTTGGCCCCTTGTGCCCACGCACTTGCCTTTTACATTGATTGGTTGGCCCCTTGTGCCCACGCACTTGCCTTTTACATTGATTGGTTGGCCCCTTGTGCCCATGCGCTTACCCTTTTGTTTCATCCCCAAATTTACTGGGATCAGCCCGCTCAAACCAACTTCCTAAAAATAAGCAATATACATAAGTTAAAAGAAAGCACTTAGCCTGAGGCTTCACAAAGGAGGGGAGTTGGAGGAGGATGAGGAGGAGGAGGGATATGGGAGGGAGAGGCAGGGTTCGGGGGTGAGGAAGACCTGTTCACTTTCCCTGTCCTGTCAGAGAGATGTCAGGTAACATGTCCCATCTCACATGGCCAATAAGAGGAGAATAAGGATTTGAACCCAGCTCATCTGTGTAATAGTGTGACCTTAGTCTCTCCCAAAGCTTCCTCCTCATAGCCCAGTTCTGTTCGTGGGAAAATGGGAAACTACAGGGTCTTCCAGAAAGAACCTGGCAACTCTTCCCTTTTTTTCCTTCACACTGAAACATGACATAAGCCAAAAATATGAGGTATGGAGGGTGGACCAAGAAATAGCAAATCAAACCCCAGCTGGGTTTAGTAAATTATTATGATTCACTTCCAGTGGGGTACTTATTAGTTAACCTTTAAAAATGATGTTGTAGAAGAATAGTGTTAAAGCAGTTAAGTGATTTAAGTTCAAGAAAGATCTCAGGCTTGCGCTCGAGACCACCTGGATAAAAGCTCCCAGTGACCGTGGCCCCTCTCCAGACCAAATAAGACACTGCCTCTTTTCTTTCTTCTTTCTTTTCTTTTTTTATTTTTGTATTTTGAAACAAAATAACACTTCTAGAAAGGTGGAGGACAGTATGAAGAATCTCTCTGCCTCAGTTTCCTCATCTGTAAGATGGGGTGGAACGAGTAGTACCCATCTCGCAGTGCTACCGGAGGATTAACAGGCTGTAAATAGCTGGCACGTGGTGAGTGTCCCGGTGCTGGCCATCGTTCATACCATGAATCAATGTTAAGAGGCAACTTCTGAGGTCTGCAGGAGGTTAAAAAGACACCACATGGGGCAACCTCCTCCCTATGAGGGGAAACAGTCCTCTGTGTTGGTGGCGAAGAGTAATTATGATGGAAAAAACATTTTCCAAGGTCTGGAGCTGACGTGTCCTCCTTGTGACATTTTAATCTCTGAGTAATAGATTCCATTGCCTGCAGAGCAGTGATTTTTTCCATTTATTGCTTTTTCCTCTTCTCTCTCAAACCTGGATTCTGCCTCCCGTCAGCTCCAGCCTGCCTCCAGCAACCAGGGGCTGTTTCTGGATAATCCCCATTCGGGAGCCAGTTTCCTTACTCAACCCAGGCCAGGACGCCTGGAGCCCCAGCAAGACACACTGCCTTGCCCAGAGAAGGTGGCGAGGACTACCGTGCACTCTGCCACTCACATCACTTCCATGCTCACAACGACCCTGTCCTGCAATGCTGCAGCGATCTCCATTCTAGGCTGGAACGGAGGGGTTCCATGCATGGGCCGTGCAGTCAGAGAGCCGGGTCTGCCTTTGTCACCCACATAGTCACCACGAAACCTTAACTACTCTGAGGCTCAGTTTCCTCATCTCTAAAATGAAAGGGATCATAACAATGATGACTTAGTGGATTGTTAGGAATATTGAGTTAAATCATACATGTAAAGTATACATGTATACTATACTGTTGCCCAGTATAGCCCTTACAACACTGTACATGCTCAATTAATGCTAATTATCGTTGTCATTATTTAGAGTTGAAAAAATTGAGTCTCAGGGTAGTTTTAATTATTATATTTTGTAGGCATGGAAACCCTGATATACCTGTCTCTAAGTTTAGTCCTTTTCTCACTCTACAAAGTAGCTTGCCACTCTGTGGCCAAGACCACCCTTCCTCTGCCTTCCATAGTAATAGAAGTTTTCAACGGGTATATGCCCACACAGCCAAGACTACATTTCCCAGGCTCCCTTGTGGGTAGATATGCTCATGAGACTAATTTGGCTAGTAGATGCTCACGGAAGCAATAGTTGAAGCTTCCTGGTTAGGTATTTCAAAAATGGCCTACCTTCCCTTGCCCCTTTCTCTCTTTAATTGACTATATGATTTTTACATGAGAAGGATATAAACTTCTGTCTTGTTTAAGCCACTGTATATTGGGTCTCTTTGTTACAGCAGCCAAACCCACATAGAGAGGGAATGGGGGTGTCGGTCATAATAGGATTCGGGCTTGGGGTCAGAGACCTGTGTTTGCTGGCCCCATCCCTCATTTGCTTCATGGCCAAAATATTCATTTGCTCCCTTATCTCACAACATTTTGCCAGCAACTGTATAAGACATTAGCAATGCAGAGATAAATAAAACGCAGCTCCAGAAATTATCTAGTTCATCTGTAGTCTTGTGATGTTATCCATGTTAATCTTTGAGGACAATATGCTCTTTTATAGAGGAGGCGTGGTTCAGCTTTAGATTCAGGCCAAGCTCTTAAATAATTGCTCTGCAGGTTCCAAACATTTTTATAGATTCCAGGATGGGTTCCAACTCTGTTAACATAGTGACCAAAATGCACAAAAATATCATAGGTGCTGAGACACTGGTTTCAAGTCTTTGGCGAGATAGTAAAGTTCAGCTCCAGCTGTCCATTGGACATAATGGCACAGAGGGGTTTAAATTAGAAAACACAGGTAAAGTATTTGACACTGTACCCAACATTTAGGAGGCAGTAAGTAAGTGCTATGGATGATGACAACGAAAACGATGACAATGATGACGGTGATGATGAAGGCATGGGCTTGATTCTCCACTGCTCCCAGCAAGGCCCCCTGAAAGGGGCCCATCCCCAAAACTCTACCACATTTCTGTGCTATGAGGATCACACTAGGCTGTGTTTATTGAAACACTTTTATAAAAGGGTGATGTGGTGAAGGATGAAGCCTTTGTGGACATTCAAACCTGCAACATTTCACCCTATCTGCCTTGGTCCCTCAGATTACTTTCCCTGTCTTTGCCAAGTCCCAGCTGATGTCTGCTGCTGCATGGCCATGTTTTACTGTTACTTCTGAGAGTTTGTATTACTGGCCTGTGCTTGTCTAGACTCTAAGTCCACTGGGATCTGTCCACACACATACATAATTAATCAGATAAAATTCAGGAAAAGAAAAGAGTTTTAGTCTAATGATTATATGGCCTCTCTACATTTGAATATTCATAACAAGTTACCATTTTTTAATAATGCTAGAATGCTGACTCCCAATATAAGGTACTATGTATGTATTTTATATATATTTATAAAATAAATATTCTTTAATTCCACAGAGTAATGACTATTATCCTGATATTGCAGGTGAGGAAAATAGAGGCAGATCTGCTACAAAACTAATAGTTTAAGCTCAAACCCCTTATTTACACATGCCTCTCCTAAGGCCCTATGCTGATTTCGAGTCCATATATTTGCATTTTTTTCTTAAAGGGCCCCCAACATTGTATCAGCTGCAAGCCCTCCAAAATCTGGATCTGTCCCTGTAGGTCACATAGATTCTAAATACCGGAGCCAGAATTTGAACAGAAATCATTTGGTATTTCAATTGAGTTTAATTTAAATTCATTGTAATGATGTTATCGGTACATAAAGTCATGCCAGTGGACCAATATTGGTCCATGGGTTGGGATTGAAATCTCCCAGTGATATGCTCCAGTAATAATGCTGGATAAATTGTATAAGGTCAATGTACTGGTATCAGCTCATTTTATTTCCACCATCTTTTATTAAAAGCCTATGATATAGTAGGACCTGTTCTAGATATTGCGGATACAAGCTGAATAGCACAAAATATCTGCTTTTAAGGAAGTCATAGCACCTGAAGGAGACAGTGGTGGTATGGAGGATGGCAGATATAGTTGGTTGACTTACTTAACACACCTTTCGGTTTGCCATCTCTGTTACAGGGACTGGAAAACTAAAAGTTACATTTCCAAGAACTTCTGGCAGGTGGGGGTCTGGTATTCAGCCTATGTTCTTCCAATCAGACATGCGAGTACAAGTGGGAACAGAAGTGATCGATATGCAGTGGCCACCACACACACAAAGAGCAAATCTTTTGGCCAAAAGAGTGGTAGAGGGGTCTCGTTCTTCCGAGGGGGCTGTAGCCACCTTCTGTCCTCAGGCCCT